ATATATCCATAAACATGATAGCATAGATCCAAGGCAGGCAACCTATGTCACACATGAAACTAGAACCAGGAACAAACTTGGAAACTTGAATACACAAATGTATGACTAGGAACCGGGAGCTGTTCACCTGAATACGATGTTGCTCTCACAAAGCAGAAAACCACTTAAAAGGCCTCATACCCTCCCATGACATCATTCCTCACACACCTGCTTATCCTCCGCTTATCTCTAAACCACTGGGGAAAGTGATTCTGTCTCTGTTGTACGCTCTGCCTTCGAAGCTCCAAGTGCCTTGATCTGGACAAACATTCATCTCCGATATTTCTTTTAGCTGGCACTTCTGACAGTTTCTCATGATAACTGATATTGCTTCCTCCACTCTCATAGGAACTTCCAGGAGATTCCAGAACAACTCTCTCCAATGTGTTGTCAAAGGCTTTCATGGTTTGAATCACTGGGTTGCTGTGAGTTTTTCAGGCTGTTTGCCCATGTTCCAGAAGGAGAGAATGCTTCTGGAACATGGCCATACAGCCCAGAAAACTCACAGCAACCCAACTCTCTCTAGGCCACTTCTATCTTCATCTGGGCCCTCTGAATCTATCCCAGCATCCCCTTCTTCATCTTCTGAGCACGCAGAAACTGACCAGGCTACAACCCAGACTTCTTGTGAGAGCCCATATCCACAATGGATATTTTCCTGGACTTTGTGTGGATATGTGAAACCACAGATAATAATAGTGTACCACATTGAGATGAAGGACTCCTGGCCCAAGAATACAACAGAGTCGCACTGAAATAAAGGGACCCAATCTGGAGACTGGGCAAGATCTGCTTTCGATTGTTTCTTTTTGTCTGGCAGCTCTATTGGAATAAGAAATGAATATTTAATCTGCCAGGCTGAGAAGAGCACCCCGGGAGATTATTTTCCCACAGAACAAATCTTTCTTTTTTCCCCTGCATCCAAGATCAGACAATTGTTGTGGACGCTTTGCCCAGTTTCAGGGTAAGTCTTATCTTCAGTCCTGTCTCAGTGACCTGGAAATGCAGCCCTGTTGGGTGGTGCCTAAGGAAGCAACAGGGCTGCTGTTGTTTTTTGTTTTCTAGGCTCATTAATTGCATAACCCAGCTTGCATTTTTTCCCTCATATGGAGTGTCTGAGTGAAAGGGAAAGAATTGCCAGTGCGAAAGAATATTCCACTGGCTCCAGCCAACCTTTGTGATCTGGAGACTGCAGTAACATCGAGGTTGCCCTCTTATTTGGTTGCATTCTGTGATTTCGCAAAATACAAGTCTCTCTCTAAGTAATGCTTATATGTATACTAGCTTGGGTACCTGGTTATTGCATGGGTTATTTGAAAAAGTCATTTTTTATTTTACAAAATGCATAAGGTTGTGGGTAAACTACAACTCATATCATGCCAGGTCACCCCCCCTGAAACTCCATCAGTAGCTAAAATCTGTCATGTTGGGCAAGTTTGCTATAGATGCATTATCAGTGGGGTTCAGTGTGATCTCTGGCTGCAGGATAAATGACAGCTCCCACTGTGGTGGGTCAGTCCAGTCAAATCCCTCCAGTACGTTCAGTTGGTCGTGGGGGTTCTGTGTGCCAAGTTGGGTCCAGATCTCTCATTGGTGGTGGTCCAGTATCTCTAGATGTAAGTGAACTACAACTTCCAGAAATGAAGGTTAGTTCCTCCCATACCTCTCCAGTAATTTTTGTTGGTTATGGGAGTTCTGTGTGACAAATTATGTCCAGAGTCATCGTTGGTGGGTCCAGAGTACTCTTTGATTGCAGGTGAACTATAAATCCCAGCACCTACAATGGCTATAAATCAAGGTGAATTCCCCCCAAACCTCTCTAGTATTTTTCTTCGGTTATGGGGGTTCTGTGTGCTAAGTTGGGTTCAGATCTCTCATTGGTGGTGGTCACAGTATCTCTAGATGTAAGTGAACTACAACTTCCAGAAATGAAGCTCAGTTCCTCCCATACCTCTCCAGTATTTTTTGTTGTTCATGGGAGTTCTGTGTGCCAGAGCCATCGTTGGTGGGTCCAGAGTGCTCTTTGATTGCAGGTGAACTATAAATCCCAGTACCTACAATGGCTATAAATCAAGGTAAATTCCATCCAAACCTCTCCAGTATTTTTCTTCAGTCATAGGGGTTCTGTGTGCCAAATGTGGTCCAGGTCTATTGCCAGTGGGGGTTACAGTGCTCTGACTTGATGCAGGGTGAACTACAACTTCCATCACATGGACTCAATCCCCCAACCTCCTCCAGAATGTTTAGTTGCTGCTCAGTTCTGTTTGTTATGCAGAGTTGCAAAGAGTAGGAACAGGTTAAGGGAGAGGCAGTGGGTGGGGCGGGAGGTGTCATGCAAATTCCAACCAATGGAGAGAGAAATGAACACTGGGATGCCTGCCTGTAGTGGAGGAAAACTTTTAAAAGCTAGGATGAAATGGTCCTTTATTGGACCTTAGGGAGGACATTGCCATGGTGGCAATGGCGCTAACTTGCAATATCAGTGGAGGGAGTGCCTTTGGAGTCTTCTCAGCACTTGGAACTAGGGCTGGGCGGTTTCGTTTCGTAATTTCGTAATTCGTTAAAAATTCGTTATTTTTTTTTATAACGAAGCGATATTGAACCATTCAGGAGCAACTAAAAAACGAAACGAATTTTTCCAATTCGTTTCGTAATTGTTTCGGAATTGTTTCGTTATTGATTCGTTATTGATTCGTAAATGTTTCGTTATTATTTCCGCATGTCTGGTGCAAGTTTTAGGGTTGCTGTTTGTTTTCTCAGTGAAAAAAAATATAATTATCACACCAACAGTCAACAACAGAGGGAGAGGGAAGCTTCAGAAGTTTTTTTAGCGTATTGCGCGATCGCGGCCGCCATTAACGAATTGATTCGTAATCGATTCGTAATTGTTTTCGTAATTGTTTTATGATTTCCGAAATTTCGTAAATATCGAACTTTTTTAAAGGAAAATTTCGGAATTCTTTTAAATAACGAAACGCAAAAACCCCTAAAAACAAATCGAGTTTAGAAACAAATTTTTCCGTGTTTGGACAGCCCTACTTGGAACTATGGTCTCTGTTTGTGGAGGTGAGAGGCTGTCTGTGTAAGTGGACACCTCCTCCACTTCCACGCATATTTTTACTTTTATTATGTTATTTATAGATGAGCCACCTTGCAAATTGGTGGAATTTAGGGAAAGTTCACCCAACATTTCTTATGACAGAGGAGCCTCGGATTTCCAGCAACAAGTGATGTGTAGCCTAAATGTTAACTTTATTTTTGCTGTGTTTTTTGTCAATTCATTCTCCTTTCACACAAAATATTCAATACACTCAGGAATGACATAGCACTAAAACATGTTTTTTTTTCTTGCAGGTTGCTATGGTTATTTTCCCATCCATCTGGACATCTAGGGAAAGCCTCTCAGCTTGGCTCGATAACAAGCAGCTTTTGTGGAATTGCTAGAGAATGGGGTGGTGACGTGGCCCAGTGAATCGTTCTTGGTTTCAGCCCATGTGCGCAAAATGGTACACCTAAAGGTACGAATTTTCAACCTAAAGACGTCAAAGCTTTAGTCAACCAACATCCGAACATGAGACAACAGTGCCATACTGTTTTATATTGTTGATTTTGGTATTTTATATTTTGGTATGATGTATTTTGTTATTGTGTGTTTATTATGTTGTATTATTTTGGGCTTGGCCTCATGTTCGCTGCACTGAGTCCCCTTTGGGGAGATGGTAGCAGGTTATAAATAAGGTGTATAATTATTATTATTATTATTATTATTATTATTATTATTATTATTATTATGTGGCAGCTGAAAAAGCCAAGGAGATGTTGGACTGTATAGAAATAAGTATAGTTTCTAGATTTGTGGTTTCCAACTTGTGCTCCATTGACCACCAGTGGTCCACAAGAGCAAAAATATGGTCCACGGCCTCACTATTACTACACTGTTGCCTCGAAACCACATGGCAACGAGAGCAACTATTCTTGTAGTGCCGAGGCAATGGGGATGTTGAGAGGGGAGAGGCTGACTACCCACAAAAGATGACTACTACCACACCAACTCTAGATTATTAAATACGGTTTTCTGTGGGCGAGCAGATGGCGACTACTGGATGGCATATGTTCTGTTCTGTCGTGCGCTGGACCTGTAAAGAATTTCCTTTAGGACAGGACGTGCAACCTTTGCCCAGGGGGAAGCCAGGGGGCCCAAGAGAAGTTCTCAGAGGTTTTCCACCACAAATGATCTTTAGATGGCTTGTAAAGTATAACAAAGTCATTTATTAATGAACAATCAAACACAAACTTTTCTTGTCTTCAATAAAGTTAACCAAATGCTTCCAGGCTTTTATGCAACTGGTGGCTTCCTAAACTTGCCCACGAAAGACAGGCAACTGTCTTCAATAACTTCTTCTTTACTTTAAAGGAAAATCCCCTTTTTAACTTCTCCCAGGCTGACTGTAATCTAACCCTTACTGATGTGGGCTCCACTTACCGGGTCGAACTGCTTCTCAAGCACCGAGTGGACCTACCAGTAAAGGCTTGGATATTCTCCAGCTGGAGATCTTTGGTTTTCCAAACTGTTACCCTCTGAAATTCTTCAAAGCTTTGGGAATGTTTCCATGGAAGTCTCTAGAATCTTTGGAGGCTCTTAAGACTGTTCTCCCCCAGAAAGTCTTAAGGGTTGAAGTGTCTGTGTAAGTGGACACCTCCTCCACTTCCACGCATATTTTTACTTTTATTATGTTATTTATAGATGAGCCACCTTGCAAATTGGTGGAATTTAGGGAAAGTTCACCCAACATTTCTTATGACAGAGGAGCCTCGGATTTCCAGCAACAAGTGATGTGTAGCCTAAATGTTAACTTTATTTTTGCTGTGTTTTTTGTCAATTCATTCTCCTTTCACACAAAATATTCAATACACTCAGGAATGACATAGCACTTAAACATGTTTTTTTTTCTTGCAGGTTGCTATGGTTATTTTCCCATCCATCTGGACATCTAGGGAAAGCCTCTCAGCTTGGCTCGATAACAAGCAGCTTTTGTGGAATTGCTAGAGAATGGGGTGGTGACGTGGCCCAGTGAATCGTTCTTGGTTTCAGCCCATGTGCGCAAAATGGTACACCTAAAGGTACGAATTTTCAACCTAAAGACGTCAAAGCTTTAGTCAACCAACATCCGAACATGAGACAACAGTGCCATACTGTTTTATATTGTTGATTTTGTTATTTTATATTTTGTTATGATGTATTTTGTTATTGTGTGTTTATTATGTTGTATTATTTTGGGCTTGGCCTCATGTTCGCTGCACTGAGTCCCCTTTGGGGAGATGGTAGCGGGTTATATATAAGGTGTATAATAATAATAATAATAATAATAATAATAATAATAATAATAATAATTATTATTATTATTATTATTATTATGTGGCAGCTGAAAAAGCCAAGGAGATGTTGGACTGTATAGAAATAAGTATAGTTTCTAGATTTGTGGTTTCCAACTTGTGCTCCATTGACCACCAGTGGTCCACAAGAGCAAAAATATGGTCCACGGCCTCACTATTACTACACTGTTGCCTCGAAACCACATGGCAACGAGAGCAACTAGTCTTGTAGTGCCGAGGCAATGGGGATGTTAAGAGGGGAGAGGCTGACTACCCACAAAAGATGACTACTACCACACCAGCTCTAGATTATTAAATACGGTTTTCTGTGGGCGAGCAGATGGCGACTACTGGATGGCATATGTTCTGTTCTGTCGTGCGCTGGACCTGTAAAGAATTTCCTTTAGAACAGGACGTGCAACCTTTGCCCAGCGGGAAGCCAGGGGGCCCAAAGAGAAGTTCTCAGAGGTTTTCCAACACAAATGATCTTTAGATGGCTTGTGAAGTATAACAAAGTCTTTTATTAATGAACAATCAAACAGAAACTTCTCTTGTCTTCAGAAAGTTAAACAAATGATTCCAGGCTTTTATGCAACTGGTGAATTCCTAATCTTGCCCACGAAGGACAGGCAACTGTCTTCAATAACTTCTTCTTTACTTTAAAGGAAAATCCCCTTTTTAACTTCTCCCAGGCTGACTGTAATCTAACCCTTACTGATGTGGGCTCCGCTACCGGGTCGAACTGCTTCTCAAGCACCGAGTGGACCTACCAGTAAAGGCTTGGATATTCTCCAGCTGGAGATCTTTGGTTTTCCAAACTGTTACCCTCTGAAATTCTTCAAAGCTTTGGGAATGTTTCCATGGAAGTCTCTAGAATCTTTGGAGGCTCTTAAGACTGTTCTCCCCCAGAAAGTCTTAAGGGTTGAAGCTTTTGTACAGGGGAATCATAGAATCATAGAATCAAAGAGTTGGAAGAGACACCATGGGCCATCCAGTCCAACCCCCTGCCAAGAAGCAGGAATATTGCATTCAAATCACCCCTGACAAATGGCCAGCCAGCCTCTGCTTAAAAGCTTCCAAAGAAGGAGCCTCCACCACACTCCGGGGCAGAGAGTTCCACTGCTGAATGGCTCTCACAGTCAGGAAGTTCTTCCAGGAAGCTTGCACACGTCCTGTACATTAGTTTTCCTTGCTGATACTAGACTAAAAAATGGCTCCCTTCCTTTCCCAATTGCCCTGAGCAAGGGGCGGAACCAAAACTTAACGATGATGGACAGGTGACTTGCCCTATGACTGCAACCAAAGGAAGCCACCTTCCTGCAGAATCCCTGTCTGCAAGCAAACATTTAATACAAAGCAAATAAAGTGGGAGCTCCTGGTACATGTTCTGTATCAGAAACTAGAGCTGATGTGGTCTATCTAATCCAGTTTTCTGAATCAGCATCCCAAATAACCAAACTGAATCTAAAGCTGACCAAAAACTGATTCGTAACCCTTTTGGTACTAATGTTGGAGAGTGGTCCCTGGCCAAGTGGTCCCTGGTCAAACAAAGGCTGGAAACCACTGGTCTAGATCCAGGAAAGTCATTGGGGCCCCCTGTTTTGCTTTGGTGTCCAGTTCTGGGCAAAGCAATTCAAGAGGGAGATGGACAAGATGGAGCATGTTCAGAGGAGGGCGACTAAAAGGATCAAAGGTCCAGAAACCATGAATCCCTCTGAGGAGCAGCTGATTGACCTGAGTCTGTTTAGCCTCAGAAGAGAAGGTTGAGAGGAGACATGACAGCCATATTTCAACATTTGAAAGGATGCCATAAGGAAGAGCACTTCCTCTGTTTCTGTGGAGACTAGGACTCAGTGGAATAATAATAATAATAATAATAATAATAATAATAATAATAATAATAAGGAATTATTATTATTATTATTATTATTATTATTATTATTGCAAGGTCTTTGGCACAATCCAGTAAAGGTGGTCCCAGTGGTTGGTGCAGTGCCTAAAGACCTTGACCTGCACTTAAACACAATCGGCGCAGACAAAATTACCATCTACCAGCTGCAAAGGACCACCTTACTGGGATTTGCATACATTATTCGCCGATGCATCACACAGTCCTAAACACTTGGGAAGTGTCTGACGTGCGATCCAATACAACCACCACCATAGTGACTTTGTTTGCTGTGGACTCATCTTGTTGTGTAATATTGTTATTATTATTATTATTATTATTATTATTATTATTATTATTATCTTGTGTAATAATAATAATTATAATTATAATTATTATTATTATTCTTATTGTAATTGTGCGGTTTTTTGGCATTGTATACTTCTGCTGCTTCTGTGATGGTTCATTTGTATTTTGATTCTATAGCCCACTTGTCGATGGATGTCCAGAATCAGCAGCATCCACCGCAGACCTTTTTATCCTGGGCGTCGACTGAGCCAGTATAGACTTCGTTTTGGTTTGCTTCTCCATAGTGCTAATGGGTTAGGTGCTCTTGGTTCCACTCCTCAGCTGAGACCTCTCTGGCTTGGTTGGACCTGCTGGTAGTTACACTACCGCCAACACAGCTCTCAGCATCGTTGGAGCAGTTAAGCCCCCCACCACGACAAGGTGGCACCCATTGGGGGCTCAATGGAGGCAACACCATCAAGGCCATAAACACCTGGGCCATACCTGTCATAAGATACACTGCTGGCATCATAAACTGGACGCAGGCAGAACTGGACAATTTGGACAGAAAAACTAGAAAACTCATGACCATTCATCCTTGCAGTGATGTTGACCAGCTCTATCTGCCTAGAAAGTCTGGTAGCAGAGGACTTTTACAAGTAAGACAAGCAGTCGAAGAAGAAAAACACGATGCCTTGGCAGAATATGTAAAGGAAAGCCAAAAACCTGCTTTAATTGAAGTCAATAATCAGAAACTTCTCAAAGCACAGCAGATAAAGAGTCAGTGCAAGAAAATTACATTCCAAACCAGAGCTGACAGCTGGCACAACAAAGCCTTACATGGGCAGTTCCTTGAGAAGATTGAAGGAAACGTTGACAAGGAGAAGACCTGGTTATGGCTCACGAATGGAACCCTGAAGAAAGAGACAGAAGGCCTGATTCTTGCAGCCCAGGAGCAAGCCACCCAATGCAATTAAGGCCAGGATTGAAAAATCAACGGATGACCCAAAATGCAGACTTTGCAAGGAAGCTGATGAAACCATGGAGCATATCCTCAGCTGTTGCAAGAAAATCGCACAGACGGATTACAAACAAAGACACAACTCTGTGGCCCAAATGATTCACTGGAACTTATGTCACAAGTACCTCCTGCCAGAATTGGTGGGATCATAAACCCACAAAGGTAATTGAAAATGAACATGCATAAATCCTGTGGGACTTTCGAATCCAGACCGACGAGTTTTGGAACACAATGCACCAGGCATCATGATTGTGGAAAAGAAAAAAGTCTGGATTATTGATGTCGCCATACCAGGTGACAATCGCATTGAGGAAAAACAACAGGAAAAACTCAGCCGCCATCAAGAGCTCAAAATCAAACTGCAAAGACTGGCATAAACCAGTACAGGTGGTCCCAGTGGTCATTGGCTCACTGGGTGCCGTGCCAAAAATATCTCAGCCGGCATTTGGAAACAATAAACATTGACAAAATCACAATCTGTCAACTGCAAAAGGCCACCTGACTTGGATCTGTGCGCATCATTCGAAAATACATCACACAGTCCTAGACGCTTGGGAAGTGTTCGACTTGTGATTTTGTGACACGAAATCCAGCATATAGATCTCGTTTGCTGTGACATACTGTGCTTTTGTGTCAGTAAAATAATAATAATAATACTAACAACTATTATTATTATTATTATTATTATTATTATTAATACTAATATTTCTTACTTGCTTCTCCCCACAGCTCAAGGTGGGTCACAGCTCAAGGCGGGTAATGGTATTAAATCTTTCATTTAAAAGGCTCTAGCAACATTTCTTTCTCAGTGTCGTTAAAGGCTTTCGTGACTGGAATCACTGGTTGCTCTGAGTTTTCTGGGCTGTCTGGCCAGGACACCTCCCAACAAAGGATTCCCCCAGGCCAGAAGCAGCCAGGCTTTGAAGCTGCAAGGCTATTTGATGCTAACATTCACACTTGCCTCCAACAGACAAAGAGTTCTTTCTCCCACCTTGGACATTATTCCACAGATATATAAAACCACTCGCCTAGTTTCCAACAGACTTTACAATCTCTGAGGATGCCTGCAATAAATGTGGGCAAAACGTCAGGAGAGAATGCTTCTGGAACATGGCCAGACAGCCCAGAAAACTCACAGCAACTCAATTTCTTTCTCTTTCCTTTTTAAAAAAATGTTTAAATATGGTCCTATTATCTTGTTGGGCTTTAAGATCTCCCACTTGTCATTTAATGGAAATTAGATAATGTGATAAGTCCTGAACTGCTTCCCAGTGTAATTTCATCCGTCAGCGGCATCTGAACCAGACAGAAATTGTACTTCCTTCGTGTATTCTGAGCCAACACTAATCTTCAAGTTTACGACTCTCCTCTTAACTGTCTCTCTGCCTCTCTCCAACTTGAAGTATTTTACAGTAAAACAAGCTGTAATTTTTCTTTTCTTTTTTTAAAAAAAATCTTTATTGAACAACAAACAAAAAGAGTCAGAAAGAAAGAAAGAAAGAAAGAAAGAAAGAGAAAAGGAAGAAAAGGAAAGAAAGAAGAGATTTTTTAAAAAGAGAAAAAAATCATAGCAGATAGTGGTTAAAAAAATAAAGTAAAATCTGGAGCAGCGTGGTATGTATCTCCTTAGTTGACTTGCCTGAGTATCTTCCAAGTGGTTTTTCCTCTTCTTTCTTTTGTCTTGACTTTTCTTCCCTCTTGTTTCCTCTTCCATTTATATTATTATATTTCAAGTTTTCTGTTTCAAATAATTTGTCACTTTTGTCCAGTCAGTTTCTTTTATTGGGGTCCCTTTATTTTTTGATATTAGGTATGTTAACCTATCCATATTTTTAATATCTACATTTTTTTCTATCCAATCACTAATTTCTGGGATCTTTTCTTTTTTCCATAATTTCGTGTAGCAAATTCTTGCTGCAGTATTCAATAAAAAAAAAACACAAGCTGTAATTTTTCTGAAGTGTCTGAAGTTTAGGGAGGGATTTCTCCCTCTTTTCCTTCCTCTATATCCCATCATATACCTCCAATACTTCTAATATCTCATTGCAGAAATCGTGGGGAAAGAAACTGGATTTGATGCAAAATCAATGCAACCATTTATTATTTTATATAAATTTTATTAGGTTATACATATACATAAAAAAGGAAAGAAAAAAATATCAAAGCATATATATATATCAATTTTGGTTTAAGTTTACAAGGAAAGTGGGGGAACATTGGGTTACAGGATAGTAGGAAATTTAAGAAATCAATGCAAAAGAAAGAAAGAAAATAAAAATAATAATATTTTAAAAAATATAGTTGTTTGACTTCCATTCTGTGTCTTCTCCTATATAGTTTTATCATTTGTGTCCTATTGACTCTTCTCATTTAGGTAATTTTCAAATGATGACCAGTTTGTCCCCTTTATTGGATTTCCCGAGCTTTTCTTTTAAAAAAAGTTAGTTTGTCCATATCTTTGATCTCTTTCAACTTATTTATTAATGACTTAGATGAAGGGTTAGAAGGCAGGATCATCAAGTTTGCAGACGACACCAAATTGGGAGGGATAGCCAATACTCCAGAGGACAGGAGCAGGATTCAAAACGATCTTGACAGATTAAAGAGATGGGCCAAAACTAACAAAATGAAGTTCAACAGTGACAAATGCAAGATACTCCACTTTGGCAGGAAAAACGAAATGCAAAGATACAGAATGGGGGACAATGCCTGGCTCGAGAGCAGTACGTGTGAAAAAAGATCTTGGAGTCCTTGTGGACAACAAGTTAAACATGAGCCAACAATGTGATGTGGCGGCAAAAAAAGCCAATGGGATTTTGGCCTGCATCAATAGGAGCATAGTGTCTAGATCTAGGGAAGTCATGCCACCCCTCTATTCTGCTTTGGTTAGACCACACCTGGAATATTGTGTCCAATTCTGGGCACCACAATTCAAGAGAGATATTGACAAGCTGGAATGTGTCCAGAGGAGAGTGACTAAAATGATAAAAGGTCTGGAGAACAAGCCCGATGAGGAGCGGCTTAAGGAGCTGGGCATGTTTAGCCTGAAGAAGAGAAGGCTGAGAGGAGATATGATAGCCATGTATAAATATGTGAGAGGAAGCCACAGGGAGGAGGGAGCAAGCTTGTTTTCTGCTTCCCTGGAGACTAGGCGAACAATGGCTTCAAACTACAAGAGAGGAGATTCCATCTGAACATGAGGAAGAACTTCCTGACTGTGAGAGCCGTTCAGCAGTGGAACTCTCTGCCCCGGAGTGTGGTGGAGGCTCCTTCTTTGGAAGCTTTTAAACAGAGGCTGGATGGCCATCTGTCAGGGGTGATTTGAATGCAATATTCCTGCTTCTTGGCAGAATGGGGTTGGACTGGATGGCCCATGAGGTCTCTTCCAACTCTTTGATTCTATGATTCTATGATTTATCCAGTCTTCTGTTTCTGGAATTTTATCCATTTTCCAAATTTTTGCATATGATATCCTTGCTGCCGTCGAAATATAAGTAAATAAAATGTCCTTATTTGAATCTGAAGTGAATTCTGAGTCCGTAATATTTAATAAATAATATTCTGGGGGTTTTGGGAGTGAAATTCCCAATATTTTTTTGTGTCTCTTCCTGTATATTTTTCCAATAAAATTGGGCTTTCTTACAAGACCACCACATATGACCTCATGATATTTCCAACACTTTTTGTCCATATTTTTATAGCAACCATTTATTATTTGAGGTTTTCAGACTCTGCCAAATGTCAAAACAGTTTTGCACATGGGGAATGAAGGGCTGTTTTTCCATCCTGTGCCTCTCAATTTCATTATTTGTGCTTTCTTTTCTAATATCTAATTTTTCTCTATTTGCAGTCGAATGGGTTTCTGAGGCTGATGGCTCCCTAGCGTTTCTGAAGGTTCAGACAACTTCTCTGGGGAGATTCTCCTGGATGGAACATCTTCAGATGTGTTGACCTTGCCTGGCTTTGGCAGCTCCGATGCGTCTCCATTTTGCTGTGGATTACTGGCTTCTGTGGCTTGGAGATGGCGACTTAGTGTCTTGACACGGAAACTGGACGTCGAGTGGTGCCTCGTCCTTCCCTAACTTCTGGCTCAGGATTTATACGTCCCTTCTCTTTCTTCCTTTTTCTACCTCACGAGCTGCTGTGAAAAAAACCAAAAAATAAACATTTTTCAAAAGCAGTTATCAAAAATGACAAGTCTGTTCCGGCGGAGCAGCAGCAATGGCAGCTCGAGGAACAGCTCTTCCGCCCAGGAACTTAACAACAGCCGCCCGGCCCGACAGGTACGGCGGCTGGAGTTTAACCAGGCCATGGAAGATTTCAAGACCATGTTCCCCAATATGGATTATGACATCATTGAATGTGTTTTGAGGGCTAACAACGGGGCCGTGGATGCTACCATCGACCAGCTGTTGCAGATGAACTTGGACGGCAGCGGGTGCGAAGACAGCTCTGACTCGGATGACAGCATTCCCCCCGAGGTAAACCTTGCCAAGTGCTCTTCCTGAAATCGTCTTGGTTGGTTGGTTGTAGAGCCATCACCATCTTTGAGGAGGTCCTCAGCGTCATGTGTTTGGGGGCATCTCCTCTTATGTTTTTTTATCTTTTTCCCCCCAGTATTTTTTATTGAAAAAAAAGAATAGCATATTTGAACAGATAATAATTGTCTGTTGTAGGCATACATTATAATAACATATTTCTATATTGTCTATTCTCATTCTTTACACATTCATTCATATTGCATTTTTTATTTTTCTCCCCCCTCCTCCCACCACCTTTCCCTACCCTTCCCACCACTTTTCTCTCTATATCTTTATTTTTAACCACGAACACAACTTTTGAAATCTTTGTACAATATCTGTGCTGGCTTCACCTTCTACCCATTTCCTATATGTTGTGAGGTCTGCTGGAAACTAGGCAAGTGGGGTTCTCATAATCTGTGGAATTATGTCCAAGGTGGGAGAAAGAACTCAATGGCTTCTCTGTGTAGTCTGACAAGGTGTTTGTGAGAGTGATCCAGCATTTCTGTGTTCTCAAATAATATGCTGAGTCCAGGTTGGTTCATCAGGTGCTTTGCTATTTATTTATTTATTTATTTATTTATTTGGAGCATTTATTAACCGCCATTCTCAGCCCACTCGGGCGACTCACGGCGGTGTACAGTACAAAAGGCAATTCACACAAAGACAAGTACAACAGCATATTAACCATACAACAATACCATACAACAATATATAAAATACTAAGAGGAGGAGGAGGAGGGGAGGAGGGGGGAGGGGGAGGAAGAGGAGGAAGAAGAAGAAGAGGATTATTATTATTATTATTATCATTATTATTTTATTTTTATACTCTGCTTCCATCTCCCCAGAGATACTCGGGGCGGCTTACATTGGGACAATTTCAACAGAATGTGGACAGTTTCAGCAGAAAGTAGGAAACCATGGAAATGAACATAACCTGGCTACCAGTATTAAAAACTCTAAAATCAGGACAGTAAATAAAGAGGAACACTAAAAAAAACGGGAATTCCAGACAGGAAACAAACAGGGCCAGCTAACACCTCCCAACAAAGGATTCTCCCAGGCAGCAACTAGCCAGGCTTTGAAGCTGCAAGTCTATTACCTGTTAATCAGAATGGCCAATTGGAACATTCACGTTTGCCTCAAGAAGAGAAGAGTTCTTCTCCCACCTTGGACATCCCATAGATATATGAGAACCCCACTTGCCTAGTCTTCAACAGACCTCACAACCTTGGAGGATACTTGCCATAGATATGGGCAAAATGTCAGGAGAGAACATGGCCATACAGCCTGGAAAACTCACAGCAACTTAGATTCTCTTGCTGACAGAAGACGCAACAGTGCCCCTGAGAGATTTAGCAGATTGCAAGTAGATCCATATGGGGTAAATGTGATTTCGGGAACCTAAAAAGCGAAACCAGCAGCTCAGACAGTCAGAAATATATGGGAAAAGTTAGCCAAGTGAATGTTATTGAATGTAAGATTTCAAGACTGTAATAGAACACACAAATGTAACCATAAGCGTTGGAGCCAGAAGCTATAAATAAACTCTGTTACTTTGTTTACACACACACACACACACACATATATATAGGAAGCCAGCAAAATACTATGGAAACTTCAAGGACTGATATTAGTTGATTTTGGATGGAATCACATCAATGTGATGGGCTTGTAATACAAATGCCCACCAACACAGAGTGTACAGTGCAGGTTGTGCAAATATTGGTTGGTTCTGGATGGAGCCACATTTATGTGATCGATTTTTAATGCACTTAGAAATAGTCTTATTGTAAGAGTACCTGTATACAGCCCCTGTCATCTGTTTTCTTGCCCGTAACTCATTTTTATCGGATTTAATATTTAGTAAAGCAGGTCAGTGGGTTTGGGTTAACTAATTAATGCTCATTAAATGCTTTGAAGCTTCTTAGGCCCTTGATCCAGTTTGAATGACGTGACCCCAGGAAGAATTTGCTAGGTTCCACGATCTTCCAGCGATTGTCGCCTGCTTTTATTCTCCTGGTCCTTTCTCTGCTCATTTATTCTTTTGTAGACGGAAAAGAAGCTTGAAGGAAGGAAGCTTTCCCCACTTCCAGTTCCAAATGAATGACTTGGAGGGTCCTTCAGGCAATTGCTTTCCTGCTTGGGTGGAGGGAATGATGTGCAATTGCTCAAGATGTTATCATGTCACGTTATGTTACATTATGACATGATATTGTACTGTGATCCATAAACTCCCTTCCCCCTGAAAAAGGCAGGAGCAGCAGCTGCAGCCGGATTAAGCCTTGGAAGGCCTGGCATAGTTCTGAAAGCAGGTCTGACAAGGGCATGCTGCATATCATCCACTATTTATTTATCATGTCAGGGGCAGAGCAGACAGTTGCATTGCATTTTTTAATAAACAAACAAACAAACAGAAACACAAAACACAAAGTTTGCAAGCTTAAATGTCCTTTGACCAGTATCTGGCCATTGGAGTGCCTCTGGTGTTGCCGCAAGAAGGTCCTCCATTGTGCATGTGGCTGGGCTCAGGTTGCATTGCAGCAGGTGGTCAGTGGTTTGCCCTTCTCCACACTCGCATGTTGAGGATTCCACTTTGTGGCCCCATTTCTGAAGGTTGGCTCTGCATCTCGTGGTGCCAGAGCTCAGGCTGTTCAGCGCCTTCCAAGTTGCCCAGTTTTCTCTGTGCCCAGGGGGGAGTCTCTCATTTGGTATCAGCCATTGGTTGAGGTTCTGGGTTTGAGCCTGCCACTTTTGGACTCTCGCTTGCTGGGGTATTCCAGTGAGTGTCTCTGTAGATCTTAGAAAACTATTTCTTGATTTAAGTTGTTGACGTGCTGGCTGATATCCAAACAGAGCATGGGCTGGAGATATCACTGCCTTTGTCCTTTCACTATTGGTTGCTACTCTGGATGAGGACGAACAAGCTGAAGATTAATCCCGACAAGACAGAGGTCCTCCTGGTTGATCGTAAACCAGACCGGGGTATAGGGTGGCAACCTGTGCTGGACGGGGTTGCACTCCCCCTGAAGTTGCAGGTCCGCAGTTTGGGGGTCTTCTTGGATTTTTCACTTACGTTTGAGGCTCAGGCTTCGGTGGTGGCCAGGAGGGCCTTTGCACAATTAAGACTTGTGTGCCAACTGCGACCGTACCTCGAGAAGGCGGATCTGGCCAAGGTGGTCCACACCTTAGTCACCTCTAGACTGGATTACTGCAATGCACTCTACGTGGGGCTGCCCTTGAAAACGGCCCGGAAATTTCAGATGGTCCAACGGGCGGCAGCCAGGTTGTTAACCGGGGCTCTTTACAGGGAGCAGTCAACCCTCCTGTTCAAGGAGCTCCACTGGCTGCCATTCATTTACCGGACCCAATTCAAGGTGCAGGTTCTTACCTACAAAGCCCTGAACAGTTTGGGACCCGCCTACCTGCGTGACCTGTATACAAACCCACACGATCCCTTCGATCATCCCGGGAGGCCCTGCTCTCGATCCCACCAGCATTGCAGGTGCGGTTGGTGCGAACGAGAGAGAGGGCCTTTTCGGTGGTGGCCCCTCAACTCTGGAACTCACTCCCTAAAGACATCAGACAGGCCCCAACCTTGGCAGTCTTCAGGAGGAGCTTGAAGACGTGGTTGTTCCAGTGTGCCTTCCCGGAATAATGATCCCATAGCACTTTGTCCTCCAAAGCACTTTACATTTTTTAGATCTGCTCGTATGCCCTTCCACGAACGCCACTATCACCTTCTGTTCATGTCCCAGCATTATTTCCATTTTCACTTTACATTTGGCCTTCCCACTGTTTTTAATTGCGTGTTGTCTTATTGATAATGTTGTATATTTTATTATCTATATTTTATTTTAATTGCTTGTACTGTTGTTGTTTTGCTTGTATTGTTGTATTCGGGCTCAGTCTCATGTAAGCTGCACCGAGTCCCTTGGGGAGATGGTAGCAAGGTACAAATAAAGTTGTTATTTTTCTTTTTATTATTACTTCCCGGCGGATGTCAGGTGGCGCAATACCGGCCAAACAGTGTAATTTCTCTAGTGGTGTAGGGTGCAGACACCCCGTGATAATGCGGCATGTCTCATTAAGAGCCACATCTACTGTTTTAGCGTGGTGAGATATGTTCCTCACTGAGCATGCATACTCAGCAGCAGAGTAGCATAGCGCAAGGGCTTCACTGTGTCTGGTTGTGATTCCTAGGTTGTGCCAGTCAGCTTTCGTATGATATTATTTCTAGCGCCCACTTTTGCTTGATATTCAGGCAGTGCTTCTTGTAGGTCAGAGCACGGTCCAAAGTGAGTCCCAGGTATTTGGGTGCGCTGCAATGCTCCAGTAGGATTCCTTTCCAGGTAATCCTCAGAGCTCGGGATGCTTGTCTGTTCGTGAGGTGAAAAGCACATGTCTGTGTTTTAGTGGATATCATCCACTAGGAAAGGGATTTTGCATTCTGTGATGTTTGCCTTCTGTTTATGGGTTTGAAAACACTCTTGACAAGATGGTAGCAGGGATCCCCCCCCCCCCCCCCCCCCACACACACACACACACCGGGGGCTGCAAGGATCTAATTATGGCCGGCTCTGGCAGGAGTTGCAGAAGGCGTCCCATCTCGGGTGACTTAAGGGCAAGTTGTTGGTTGTCTGCCCAGCCTTGCATTTGGGAAGCGACTTTGGAAAACTAATTTTGTGGCCTGTTAAGAAGAAGCCATCTCATAATGGACTGGTTGGACTTAGTAGCATTATACTTTTTGTGTCTTTGTTTTGCATGCAAAAAGCAGAGCTTGGATATTTCTCTTTGTATTTATTTATTATTTGTTTATTTAAAACTTTTATATCCCGATCTTCTCGCCTCCGTAGAGGGACTCAGACCGGCTTACAGCAAGGATTCAGTGCTACTAATACAAGTTAA